AGGACATAACATCTATTTTGGATACCTTATACAACAAAAACTCTTGACATAACATCATTTTATATGTCATTAAAGACTCGATAAGTTCTTCAAGTGGAAAATAATTCAAATCCTTAACCTCTTGAATAACCGTTACTTTAGGGCCCCAACTCTTTAGAAGGGATCTCAATATTTTGTTAACGAGTTCAAAGTTAGAAAAACATTTACCAAGTGCTTTTAGACTATTGATGACATCCATAAACCGGGTATATATGTCTCCAATGGTCTCATTTGGTTCCATCCGAAACAATTCAAAATCATACATCAAAAAATTGATTTTTTGAATCTTTAACTTTATTAGTGCTTTCGTGTGTGATTTCAAGTGTATGCTAAATGTCAAAAGTCATTTCACAAATAGAAACTTGATTGAATTCAGTTTTATCCAAAGCACAAAATAAAGCATTCATAGCTTTGACGTTCAAAGAGAAAGTCTTCTTTTGCAAATCATTTTAATCGTTCATTGGAAGAGAAGACTTTTGAGATCCGTTTTCCATAATGTTTCATAACTCAAAATCCATATAAATTAAAAAAATCTTCATTCTAATTTTTCAATAGGTGTAATCCGTCCCATTGAACATGGGTGGACGTGTGATTAAGTGACCCTCTTGGTTATCAGTAAATGATGTCTCTCTTGGGTTTCAAACTAAAATGAAAGTGACCTCGCTCTGATACCAACTGTTAGGATCAAGAACGACACTAAGAGAGGGGTGAATTAGTGCAATAGAAAAATTACGTCGGTTTGAAAATCTTCATACGATAAAAATCGATTTCGACGAAAACCATTTGTTTGACTCGTATAAGTTTACAAATGAATAGAGAAGAGGAGATCAGATAGTTTGTAATAAAGTAAAGTAGAATACAGTAAAAGGAGTTAGCAGTAAGGAAAGAACACATCGGAATTTATAATGGTTCAGTTGTAGTGACCTACATCCACTTCTGATTCCTCCTTTGTTGAGGTCACTAGCGTCCACTAAAGGTCTTCATTTAGTAGGTTACAACAACCAAACTACTATAAAACTCAGTTTACATTTTTATTTATGCAATTTACCTTTACTGTTTTATTTTCTCATTACACTCTTATGTACGCTTTCAAGTTAAACTCACTTTAGCGAAACGATTTTATCGAACGAGATTTTGGAACCGACATCGTTTTTATCCACTGCACTAATTCACCCCCCACCCCTCTTAGTGTCGACTCGATCCTAACAGTCTACATAGCCCAAGCAAGGGCTGTTGACTAAGGAGGAGAGGGAGAAAGGAGTACAGGAGGTGGTAGCCAAAAAGGGTCCAGCCTATGACTCTTTAGTTCTCTCCTATTTACAAAGGTCCCCTATCAACTTAACCCTAATGGATCCAATCATATTGGGTATTGGATTTCCATTCAACTACTTAAGCTTCTTGGATTACTAGATATCTACCCAATAATCTCTCATTGACTCTTATTAAATTTTATCTACAAGATCCAATAATTTAAGGGCTTATTAGACATACAATAAGATATGGGCTCCAATAGATATCTCATATCTGAACCTTTACTCGTCGGAATACTTACCATATGTGTATGACGCTTTAAGCTCAATATCGAGTTGACTGTAAGGCATACATGTCAGAACTCCTTCTAGCTCAATGAATTATTATTTCTATAATAATTCACTCGACTTATCAACTTCGGACGTACTAGGTCATTACGTCGTAGTCTCTAGACGATACAAGAGAATCCAATCCATTAGACATATCTGCCCTCAATTACCATATATCTATAGTCCCATATCTATCAAATATCCTAGAGACTATATTTCGAGCATGGTACTTACTATCAAGCCCATATGAAATATGCTTGAGTCTCGCTCTAATCGAATCTCCCAAAGAAGTCTTTCTCTCTCAATCCGAATGACTTTGGCTAGAGATTTGCTTGAGTGAGAATATATAAGATATTTCTCTTATGACATTGAGAGCGAATGATCCTCTATTGACACTCAATAGTACTCGTAAAGTTGGTTGCCACTCCTGATGACTAGTTGTGCTAGATTTGAAACTTTCATGCCTATAAGTTCGGTATCAAAGAGTGGAGTACTCATACAGGAGATCCTTGATGTCTCAAGTCTAAGGACCATATACACTACTAAGACGATAGAATCACTGTTTGACAATGAGGTATCATCAACCATCCAATATTCCATAAGCGGATCGACTAGTAAACTCATTCTCCAATGAACACTTGTATTGTATCCCTAGTGTGCTCACACGAGTAACTATGAGACCAATTGTATCAATCATATGGATGAGTATATAATACACCGGTCTATCCGGTCATCTCGATGTCCTTCTCAAGTGACCTATGATCGAGATTATTTAGAATATGTTTAAAGACAAATTAGTCTCATTATCATGATCTCATCGCGATCCAATTCCTATTGTACAAATCAACGGACGTCATAATATATGCAACAGATAATATAAAATATTAAATATTAAATAAATAAATAAATAAAATATATATCATATCACATGTATCATTACTCATATAATTAACTTATAGAACACTTATAACTAGGAGATATATAGATTCAATCAGTTAATCATGATCTTAAGCTTTTCTATCATGATTTGTATATTAAAGAATAATTATCTTAGAAATCTTCTAACACGTCTTTGTTGCAGGGGAAAAGAAACTCAAGGTCAATCATCTTTGACAAACTAAAAGAGTCTGAACCCAATTAACTCCGCTCCATCCAACCAATCAATCAATTCAGAGGCGTTAGTGTACAGATCCCATCTTCAGCTACGAGGCTGACAATTACAAACACCACATTAGTAATGCCATCTCTTCAATAAGGAACAAAGGGTACACAGATTCATTTAGCTGCAGTACATGTGTTTGGACACCGCGCATGCATACTGACAGCATCCTTCACCCTCCGGGATAGGTCAGGGCCACGAATGCCATGGTCTCCCTCTCCTGTAGAGAGGATAACCTGTCACAGCATCGACGCCCGAGTACACGAAGAATCACGGAGGAGGACAACCGAGTCATGACTTATGGTGTTTGAGTGTACTCCGAGGATGCCTTTCCAAGGAAGACAGGGTGGGGAAGAAATAAAAATGAACGTAGACACGCTAATATAATCTGTTATACTAATTGTTGTTCGATGTCCTTACCATCATTTTCCATTTATTTATACACGGTTTCTTAGCGGCTACCGCAACCTTAATAGATTGATTGCTTCATGAGGAATTGTACTTGCAGGTGGCAACAACATAGCAAGATCTAATTATTTGTATTTGTTGCTGCTTATCTTGTATCTCAAGCTAAGCTCGGCAAATAAAATATAGACTACTAAATAAGTGCACAGATGATAAGATATTTGGCTAAACTCAATTAGTATTTAAAGTACAGATATGGCTTTTTATTTTATAATAGTCCTGAGGATTCCGAAATTTTTTACACCTAAGATATTAATCTAACTTTCAAAAATCTAATGATATTAGATCTTTAATCATATTATCATCAATCAAAGTTTTTGTTAGCTAAACTAGATTGCATAACCTCATCCAATAATAATTTAAGAATATCATTTAGCCTGGTTAATAAAAACTTGATGAATAATAGTAATATCATTTATCGTTTGTCAAAGAATTTGATTTTAGTTAAAACACATGAGAAAATAAAATATTAATCTGATGAGGATATACCAAACTTATTTACGGAAGATTAAAATTTCCAAGCGTTATCCAATAAAAAATATCATTTAGCTCGATGATAAAAACTTTGATAGCAATATCATATCTCATTCACTGTTTGTTTCTTATAAAAGGATAAAAAGAATAATCATTACAAGTCCAGGCTTCACGTATGTTATGATAATTGAAGAGCACCCAAGTAGTCCAACCTAGACATAATTTATGACTGTGGAGCACATAAAAAGTACCCAATGCTTGAGTGCAGCCTTCTTCCCCCCACCGCCGAGTGCAGCCTTGGGATCAAAGGTGAACAGCCGCCTTCTTTTCATCTTCCTCCTCTTCTCTTCTGCTTGACCAATGTCATGTCTCGATGTCCCACGGTGGAGTAGTCAAAGCACTGTCTCTTTCTTATACCCCACAAACTATGAGCTTAGTCTTCAGATTCGGTCTTGGGAAAACTCTTATTGAACTGATTCCTTTCTTTAAGGAAGAATTCAATTAAACTGAAGATCGTCTACAAAATCACCTTTGAAGGTAATCCAACAAAGTGGATATTCCTTCCAAAAAACCATGTATCAATGCATATACTAATTGGTTCTCATAGAATAATTAATTAATTAGTTTATTAAGTTTAAATTATTAATCTAAAATAATAATAAACCCAATTGAGACCAAATCAGACTAAATAAATAAAAATAAAAATCGAAAAATACCTTACCAAATGGAAAATTAAGATAAAGATTTGATGATTAATTCTTTTAAAAAGATTAATATAACAACAACGAGAAGAAGAAATTTAAGGTCGTAATTATTTGAGATTAACTATATATTTTTTTGAAGTAAAGAACCAAAAAGTATGGCTCATAAAATGTTCCTTAACTTTTGATATATTGCTCACACAACATTTACATATTTATCAAATACATTTTATTTTTCAAAAATATTTCCAGATGTAAAATAAAATACAGTTAAATAAAAAATTACTAATTTATTTGTTTAAAATATTAATAGATGCAAATTAAAAATGCACTAATTCAACCCATAATCAATATGTTTTTTGTTATTTTCTTTTTTGCCCCACATATTAGATGGGCTCGGCCCAAATACTATTTAAAGGCCCATCTCGAGTCCAAAGGCTCCAAGTCGAACTCTCGTAGGGACATTTTGGGAAATTGCTTCCGGAGCAATCATTTGCAGAGCCGAAATTAATTCCGGATTCGCGTCCGTTACTTTTATTTGTATTAAAAATGAAAACCCACCTCGGAAAAAGGAGGGGGAGAGAGAGAGAGAGAGAGGCGAGAACGATTCAAGAACACAGCGGAGGAAAAGAAACCGAGAGAGAGAGAGAGAGAGAGTTCGGAATCTGGAAAAGGGGGGAGTATCCGAGGCAAGGGAAGAGGGGCGAGGTCTGGCTGGGCGCAGGAGAGAGGGATTCCGAATCCACTCACACATTCCGATCCAAGAAAAGGTGTGCTCCGGCGCTCCACCTCGGTACACTGGCTGGCGGTTTGCGATTTCTGGTTTCTTTTTTGGGGTCGGATTCCGTTGTTGATCGTGCCGGTGAGTTCAGATTGCTAGTTCACTTTTTGAATCGTAGTGTGAAATGTTCGTTTTCTTCTTTCATGTTCTTTCCCCCCTTTCTTGATCGGTTCTAGTGTTTGATGCTTTCGTGTTGGTGCCTTTCTTGATCTTTTCTCTTCTTTTAGGTTAGTCATGCTCTTCCTGTGGTTTTGTCTGGTCTTATGTCGATCGTGATATGTATGTTTGTCTTTCTCTGGTTGGAAATTGCTTCTTTTGGTAAAGAAAGATTTAAGATATCAGAGTTACCACTACCGTAAAGAACAAAAGCTTCTTATGATTTGTTGTCTATCGGGGGATCTAATTGGCAGTGGGTTCTTAGTGGTTTTGGAAGATCTGCGAGATTGGTAGCGTGCTTTCTGTCCGTGGCGTGACAATTTTGCACTTGGTGTGATCATTATGTGTGGAAGAGGGCCGATCAAGTGAGACAATATCAGTATCATGGACTTTGAGGACCCGTGGGATTCACTTTCTTGATTTTTCTTCTTTTGTGTTTAACAAAAGTTGGCAAGAATTGGATGCGATCTCTGTGACAACGTGATGAAAGTGGGGGGGATTTCTTATCTTAATGTTGATAGCCTCTTTAGTTTGAGCAACGTGTGATCTTTTGGAGGACTTGCTGCTCTGCTCGACACAATTACTTTCAATCTATGTTCAGTGTGGCTGTGAATTATGCAAAGAACAATTCTTTTGATGCATTCAAGGAGCTTGTGAAATTTTGTAGAAGTTTTTCTTGGATGACGTTGACTAGTAATGAAGTGACTAAGTGCTAGCGAGATTGATCCAAAAAAGTGAATTTGCATAAAAGAATCGATATGACTTGTGGTTACTTTGACTGAAGTTGTCATAGAGAGAGAAAAGATATCACAAAGATTGCAATGCTAGATTATAACGATCGCCAGTAGTTAAGGCTACAGACTTGATAATTGGTTAAGCTAAGGGTCACGATTGCCATATACTTTGCTAGCTTCTCAGCGCACACATTCTACATGTTACATGTTACCTTTCTGTCAAATATGAATAGCATGTGAGACAAAGATGGGGGGTTTTTGATAAAAAGATCGGATTGCATTTAATACTTTGCTATACATTCATGGTTTGAGGACAAGTGTCTTGATGCTAGATTTTAATAATATATAATGATTCTTATGCATTATTGCCAATAGGCAAGGCTATAAACATGACTACAGGTTAAGCTAAGGTTCACAACTTGCATATACCTTGCTAGCTTCTCAGCACACATTCTACAAGTTACCTTTAAGTCAAATATGAATGGCATGTAAGACAAAGATAGGGATATGCAATAAAAAAAATTCAGATTGCATTTAATAATTTGCTCTAAATTCATGGTTTGAGGACCAGTGTGACATACACAAGATTTTTTCTGCTTTAAACATTGATCAGAAACTATGAACCATTCATTGTTCTCGGATGGGTCTAAATTAGGAACACACTGAGTTTTATAACTAATACTTAAATATAGCACGCCAGTTTTTAAAGTGTATGCAACCTACTTATGGGGAAATCTTGTGGTAAAATTTTCGTATGGTTGAGTACTAAATATCTGATAGGGATCATATCCCAATTGCTCATGACTATTCTTGAAAAGTAAGTATAAGTCGACAGGAAAAAAAATCTTTGAGAAGTAGATAATTCTTCCAAGTTTGAATTTTATGCATGCAAGCCCATAGATCATCTGCTTGAAAATTTTCATGTTGATACTAACTCTTAAGTCTCTTTTTTACATGCACTTGTTTTTGTGTTTGTTTGGATTGAGCTTCTCCCACTATAGATTAGGATTCTTCTTTCTAATTTTAGTTATGAACTTATGATTATCGTGACTAGACCTTGATAGTTTCTTTGTTCTGTTGTATTACAATTCTGAGCCTAGTGATAAGTAATCTCCTGTTCCTCTCAACCTTAAGCATAAATGTGCTTTTGCTAATGCAACATAACTAGTGATAGAAATTGCATTATACCTGTTAGACTTGTTATTGATAACTACTTATATTTAGTATCAAACCAAATCCTATAGACAGAAAATTATATTCAACAAATAAGTAATATCAATGATTGACCATACACTATCGACCCAATGAAATTTCTTAATATCATCATGTACTGCATGGTTTAAGTGTAAAGCATTTTATTTTTTATTCTACAAGTTTGTCATATTATTGTTTATGTACATCTGAACATCTTTGGTACTTTCTTTGTTATATTCTTGTGTTTTCATGTCATTCCTGCTGAGATTTCAATCCTCTTTTAGGGTGGCTGTGGGTCCTTGTCATGATATTTTATTGTATATTTAACCACGAGGCAACCATGAATTGATGACTGGCAACTTGTGGCACTGGATGTCTATGCTATCAGAAGGTCGACATGGAGCATCTTATTGGTAATTCTCCCCATCAAAGGAAACTTAGAATTTAAACATTTCCAAAAAAGACTATAGTCTTTTATATGTTTATAAAGTTCAGATGCTTCACAGTGATCAGTAGGAAACTATCTTAACTTTTGATATTTTTGTTGTTTCTCTTGTTAGTTTTTCCTGTAAATTTGTCCTCTTATGGAAATGATATGTTTCAAGTGCCTTTCACTATCTTTATCTGTTACGAGGATCGGAACTCGAACGCAAAATACTGTGGACAACATGTCCCAATGCATCATATATTGAGCGGCTTAATACTTAGTCGAGACTTGTGTATACTATATGTAATGTGGTGTTGCACAAGACAGGTTAGCAAGATTATGTATGTTCAGCATTGCAAGGTAGTATCTTGTGCAAAAGTTGGTTGTTTACTGACTGTGGCATCATATTTTACCTCCATGTAATTTCTTAGAGGTTGACATTGTGTTTTCTTGATGCTTTCTGCATCTGACAAAAGATGTTGTTTTTCCAGTACAAAGTATAATTATTGCTTCAGAATTACTGAGACAATATATTTTGCAGGCAAAATTATATGCCGAATTCTGATGCTTGCAATTTGGTTTTGCGATTTTCAACATGTGGTGTCACAGAAAACAGATTTTAAGCCCAAGCCTCATGTTCCTGACAAATTTGTTCTGTCTGATCCACCTATTGGACTCTTTGACCCCATAGAGATATCTCCTGCTGTCATTCCAAGGAATCCATATCCTGTTGAGCCACTTCCACCAATGTACCCATCCTTTCCAAGCACTTATGAACCAGTCTTGACTGGGAAATGCCCCGTCAACTTTTCTTCAATGTCGGACATCATAGACAAGACGGCATCCGACTGCTCTGCACCTTTAGCTGCACTAGTGGGAAATGTTATTTGTTGTCCCCAGGTTAATAGCTTGATGCACATATTTCAAGGTGCTTATGGTAGTGAATCCAACATGCTTGTTCTCAATCAAGCTACTGCTACCTATTGTTTCTCAGATCTTATCAGTATATTAGCCAGCAGAGGGGCAAATAGCACTATTCCTACTCTTTGCTCAGTGAAGTTGTCAAATCTTACTGGTGGTTCATGTCATGTCAAAGACCTGGTTACGTTTGAGAAAATAGTAAATACAAGCAAATTACTGGACTCATGCAGCACAGTTGATCCGCTTAAGGAGTGCTGCAGACCATTATGTCAACCTGCTATCATGGAAGCTGCACTTCAGATCTCACTAGGAGGAGCAAGCATGCTCGACAATTCTAGAATACCTGGGACTGCTGCTGGGATTACTGTTGTCAATGACTGTAAAGGAGTGGTGTATGCATGGTTGTCTAGGAAACTCTCATCAGAGGCTGCTAACACCGCATTCCGGATTTTATCTGGTTGCAAAGTTAACAAAGGTTTGTTTTTCATGTATCCTGATTGATTTTGGTATCAATGTCCCATCTTATATAATGACATATCTTTTTCTGGCTCGTTCTTTCTTTTATGGATATTCCAATAGAATAGTCATATTTTTGGTTGTGGAGCTGCAATTCATATTTCAAACAATTACATACTGCATATGCATCTTACACGCAACAATGTCTAGTGCAATACTTCATATCTGCATCAATTATGATATACTTTTGTGCCATTTGTTGCATGCAAATGATGCCCTATGCAAGACTTAATCTGCATTTATGATAACATCAGTACTTATATAAGTTATCCATGTAGGCCTAGTGAGTCTAAAAAGAAAGGGAGTATGGTGCACAAGGCTCCCACTGGTGGTATGATGTGGGCTCTGTTAAGGGGTAATATATGTAGCTCAAGTTATGAGGCCCTAATAATACATGTAACACTTTGGTTTAGTCCCACGTTGAAATTGGATAAAGATAGATTGATATATGGAAGCTTTATCGGTGTACGACTATTAACTTTGGTTTAGTCCCACGCTAGGAGCTTTTTGTTGATGGTCCGGTTAACTATCGGGACTGAGTAGAAAAGTACTACCCATGGACAAGGCTAGGATCACATCATGGTATAGAGCTACCGCTTAGTGGGGTCTCACATCCATCATGTTTGATTTTAGTCTGTGGGTTATATTGGTCCTTGATGGGACGTTAAGTCCTAAAGTGGCAGAGATTCTGACACTGGTATAGTTCCACGTTGAAAGTGGACAAAGACTTAGATTTATAAGGCTTGATGTATTATTGTTAACCTGGCTTAAGCATTTTAGGCTAGTGTTTTAAACTAAATAAGTTAGTGAACTAGATATCCTCTCAGGTTGGGCTGTGACAATATCCATACCTAGATCAGTAGAGATGGGTGAAAATGACTATACATATATAGCTTGATAGAAAAGATCTTGTATCTATCTCGTCTCCCTAGTGAACTTGCTTTGATTTCTTTGTGGTGGAACCGTCAGAACATTTGTGGTCGATATTTGTGTTGTGCTTGATGGAATAAAAAAATGACGACATACAAAGACTTTTGAACATTTGATTAAGCATCATATTTTTTTTGTTCAAGAGGCTTTTCTAAAGTTTATTGATATCCTAGATTTGTTTCTTCCATAGAATGACATTTTGGTCGGATTGTACACACCGGTCTAGGTATGAACCAGCATGCAAACCGCCCTTGTTTCGGATAGTTTAGTCCACCAATATAAAAAAATCCATCTAGCCATAATCGGGTCTCGTGCGAGCAAGGCGTATCATGTGATCTTTGTCGTGCATTGTCATCACACACCGTCATGGTGCACCACCATCGTTTGTCGCTAGGCATTGGCACAACGCACCATTCCCGGGCCTCTCTTCTCCTCCCTCATCCTCCACCACCTCCTCTCCTTTCTCGTCTTATCTTTCTTTCCTCCACCGTCTCCTCTTTTTCCTTTTTCTTCCTCCTTTCTCTTCCTCTATCTCCATCTCTTCTTCCTTCCTCTTTCTCTTCCTCTTCCTTTTTTTTTCCTCCTTCCTCCTCTTCTTCCACTGTGCCTTCCTCTTCTCCTTCTTCATTATCTTTGAAACACTGTTATATATCGATGTATCATGTGTCAATACATTGGTATCGATCGATATGTGTCGGTTCGATCAGAGATTAATATGGGTTCAGTACAACATTCCTTGGTTTCTTCACTAATGAATTTGGAGTTTGTAAATTGTTAGAAACAAGGTATGCAATTTCGAATAATACCACCCGGT